CTTCCTTCCTTCCTTCCTTCCTTCCTTCCTTCCTTCCTTCCTTCCTTCCTTTCTCCTTTTCTTCATCAATGACTTATTTCTTCTTATTTTATGAGCATTGATGTTTTGTCTGCATGTATGTCACTGTGAGGTGTCAGATCTTGGAGATACAGACAGTTGTGAGCTGCCATGTGGGTTCTTGTTGAACCTGAGCCCTCTATAAGAGCAGTCAGTACTTCACTGAACCATCTCTCTAGCTCCTTTATTTATTTGGATGAAATCAGTCAAATTAAGATCAAATTTAGAGGGATCAAACTTTAACAAGTAGCAATGCATGTTTTTGGTTGTTTCCAAGACCAAAGAGGTGGTGGTAAAGTTTAAAGCATCGTGAGAACTGAGATATCACTAGATGATCAATTAATAAATTAATCACTCAAAAAGAATCGAAGAATGGTCTTTTGAATAGAAATAGAAAACATGGGAGCTTTACACACAATCTTCTGAGATACTTGACTCTAAAGTGTGATGATACAATGTTTAGTTTTATAATTAAATGATAAAGGATTGTGAGACCGACTGCCATACTTTTTGCTGTTATTGAATAACAAAGTTCTCATTTGCAGGTAATAACAATTAGGTAAATTTCAGGAATAATATATTCAAATAGACTTACTTTACCTGTGTCACTCAATTCTGTATCCAATACATACTTGAAAATCTTATTTAATTAATTAATCAATTAATTGTATAGTGCCGTAGACCTTATGCGTGTGAGGCAAGCATCCTCTCGCTGTGCTACATTGCCAGCCTCTTCTTATATAATTTTATTGAGCAATATACATATTTGATGATTTATTTTCTTTACTATCACAATGCATTCATAAGCATTATGCTTAATTTGAAAAATTATAGAATTATCAACATATTTAAAATTTTTAAATTTATTATTAGTTTGTGTGTGTGTGTATGTGTATTTGTGTGTGTTTGTGTGTGTGTATGCCTCCGTACCTGTGCGGAGGTTAGAGGATAGTTTCATGTAGTCAGTTCTCCCCTTCCACCTTTATGTGGGCTTTGGAGCCTGAACTCAGATCATCAGGCTTTTTCAATCAAAAGGCAAGGCCTTTAAATCTACTTAGCTACCATGACAGCCTCCAAACCCTGCTTTTTAGAATACATCTCTTCCTTCTGTTTACCACCCACTAGTTCTTTGATTAAAGCCAGACATCTAACTGTCTCAACTTGGAAAAAAAGCATTTTAAGAAGGAAACATCAAAAGGAGGGGCTAATGAAATAAATATTTTAAAATCCCTATTTTATATGAGGAGTCTGAGAGCCATGGAAACTAAGTAATATCCCCCAACTCACAAAGATGTGGCCAACTTAGGACTTGCATGGAGGAGCTGATGGGATGTGGTATCTGTTCTTTTCTCTAGTCCAGTGCTTCTCAATCTTCCTAATGCTACAACCCTTTAACAAAGTTCCTTGTGTTGTGGTGACCCCCAAGCATACAGTTATCTTGGCTTCTACTTCATAACTGTAAATTTTGCTACTGTTATGATTCATAATGTGAATATTGGTATTTGATATTGGTCTTTGTTTTTTGTATTTCAGTTGTATTTGATAACTTCCCAGTTGAATTTATGTCCCTTTCTGACACACTTCCAAATAAATTTGAGATCCCTTTTCTGAAAATACACTAAAATTACTCATGCTTGTCTGTAACTGTAAACTGTTGATGAAAGAACACTTACAAATACATGCCACTATTTAAGCACACATTTTTTTTTTTAAGAAGCAAGGTGGTTCAAGAAACTAGACAAAAGCCAAGTAAGACTAAAGCTGTTCACTTTACCAATCTGTCGCTCCCATCTGTTATCTTTAAAGGAAGCCCGATTTTAAATCCAGAGACTAGTGAGATTTATGAACACAGAAACTAGGTGAAACTTGTAATTCTACTATTTTCTTCTAAGAAATGTTGCCCTAAGGTGTCTCCTTTTGAAAGCCCCTTAATTTTCTTTTTCACTGATTTTTTTTCTTAAAAACTTATTTAAAATTAAAACTTTAATTATTGGTCAAATCATTTTCCAACAACCACCCTCCATGATCTTCAATGCCCTTGATAGTGTGATCTCATGGTATCATTGGTGTTTCTCAGTTACTCCATTTTGGGTAAAAACACCCTAGAAAACAACATGAACACAACCCACAACACTAATTTCTGAAATAGACTGTGTTCCCTCACCCCACCTCCATCTTTTTCAGCAAATTTCTTCTACCACAACCCACAACCAAGAAGAAAGGAAAAAATTAAGAGCTTTACCTGGAATATCTGAAGAATGCTGTGCTTCTCCATGTAGCGGAGTGCAACCTGATAGGGGTCATCAAAAACGATTGGAGGGAACCGCCGTCTATAGCTTTGACTGGACCTTTGAGAGCTCTTTCTTTGCTCAAATTCTGTAGAGATATCCTGAAATTGAAATATTTCCCCCAACAGATTTATTAATTTATTTTTAAATCAATCTAAAAATAATAGCACATTTTTTTGCTATTGTTATCTAGATTTAATGAAATTTAACACCAAGAATTAAGATTTCATACCAAGAATTAAGAAAGATACTGGCTATACTACTTTCATCTTGTGTGTGTGTGGGGGGGGGAGAGGGAGAGGAAGAGGGAGAGAGGGAGGCCTTAAAGTGTCATCGAAGAAAGTATTATCTGTTCAAATAACCACTAACTGCCTACAGACCCTCAGGGCCAGTTCTTTGAGAGACTCAACTCACCCTTAAGCACTACAAAGCACCTCAAAATTTGGAGGGAGGATACCTTCAGTTTTTCTACTTTAAATACTTTCTCTCACACGGGGGATTTCCAGTTACCTTCAAATTCCCTTGCTATGGTAGAAACCCAGGGTGGGAAGTGATTTAGTGGTACAGACTTAGTAGAACTGGAAACATTGGTTTCTTAAATCCTGGTTCACTGATTCTTCCTGAGTGGCCTGAGGATAATTAGGAGGCAACACATCTCTTATGTGTTACACCCTTCCTGAGACCTACAGGTTACATGTGTTAGTTATATGGGTTTATTCCTCATCTCTGCCTTAGCATGAATCTTTCTACTGGGTGATCTCGTTCTCACCCTCACAGGTCCTATCTTGGCTTCCAACCTCCCAATACATCCCTTCTACCTACAGCAGTGTATTCTGTGGTTTGAATTTTTTCTGGACTGGAGGAATAGTACACTTTGGTTGTGATGGAGGGAAGTTTTTCGGTCGAGGACTGGGTGTCGGTAGTTAATTCGATATTGTGTGGGTTGTAGGGTTGGATAGTGGTTGCACTTTCTGTTTCCTCTGTAGTTGAACCTTTGGTTCCGAGCTCTGTTTCACTATCTTCAAATGTGCAAGGCTGCACTCTTTGGTCAGCTTCTCTGTTGTCATTGATATCAGTTAATGATCTGCTCTCAATGTGGGCAAGCGTTTTGTAGTATGAGCGGTAGCCAGCCTGTTTTTCTGTTGTACGGCTAACTTGGGCATAATCCTTTTCTATATCTTCACTAAGCCTGTGTTTATCACTCGAGCCTTCTTCAGCCCAATAACCAGCTTGGTTGTACACTTGACTCTTTCCTGGTAAATGGTCAGCATCGTCTGATGAAGTCAGGTCATCATGCTCCAAAATTTCTTGGTGAGTCTGCTCAGAACCTTTCCTACCAGATGGCAAAGATGCTTGACCATCTATCTTCTCAGAGGCTTTCCCCTCTGAGAGGCTGGGAAGCTGTTGTGAAGTTCTTCTCTCAGATAGTCTGCGCTCCGCCTGCTGAGATGCTCTCCTCTCTGCATGGCCAGGCAATCGGTGCTCAGTTGGCTGAGAAGATTTTTGTTCTGCTTCTTCAGAAGTTCTTCGGTCAGTCTGTCTATTAGCATTAGCGGCCTGGCTGGATACCTTATCACCAGTTGGCTCAGATGATCCACTCCCAGCATGTTCAGAACCTTTGGGAAGGGCCTGGCCTGCTCTTTCTGTGTTGGTCTTCTGGTTATCTGAGGTTTGGGCTGTGTTTTTATGGTTCAAGGATTCATCTGGAACCTCTAGTGGAGGCTCATCCATTTTCTGCTGCACCTCTGACTGGCCTTAGTTGCCAGGCACCGTGGGTGGGGCCTGGGCTTGGTTGTCTAGGCAACCTTCCATGACCTTGTGATTCTGTTGGGCTTTGTTCCACCTCAGCTGTGGCAGCTCAAAGTAAGTGGATGAATCTGGCTGATGACTTGGCAACAATCACTATCACAAAGGAAGACTGCCCATGGACTACCGCAGTGTGAGCAAGAGCTGGGACACTATCTCCTGACAAGAGGTGAATCCCATAGGCAGGCAATCTGGATTCTCCATCGTGGCCTAGCAATGAGGCCTCGTGGTTTGCACTGGTGCCTGGAGATGTTCTTCTCCATGTATTGTTCTCTGTTTGTTTGTTTTGTCTTGTTTTCCAGGCAGGTTCAGGCAGTGTGGGGACTAAGTTCTCTTGGAAACCATTCTTTTAACTCCCTCACCAACAGCATGAGAGTCCCACAACTGAGAGTGTAGGCTACTATTGTCATTAAATTAATTTCTCACTGCTTTGGAGTTTGACTTTGCCTCGTTACTGTCCATGCTGTGTGGCCTGTGAGGCCCTTTCTTGCTGAGTTAGATGGATGATCTATGGCTGGAGTAACAACAGGAAGATCCAGTGAGAACAGGTTCTATAGCCATCCCGGTCCAGTGGTCTCACAGAAACAGCGTTAGGGAGAGAAGGCCAAACCAAGTTCCACAGTGTGGGCACTTGAGAGAAGAGACAGTTTGACAAATAGAAAAGTTGCACTTGGTGGTGGTGGTCACTGGTTTTTAAGATTTTCACCCCTCCCTTGAAGTTAACCTTAAATAATGCACGTGTGAGCTCAGGTAATCTATTACCATAAGTTGAATTGCATTTAACAATTAGAGAAGAGATTTAAAGTTTAAAGACCAATAGTTGGGGTCAATCTGTGGAGGGAGTGGGCCAGCTCCTTATATTCAGGATCAGAGAGGGAACTTTAGGGACACTGAGATGAAGCCATGTATGAACAAGTGCCTAAAACAGAGTAGTGGCCCCCAAAGTGTTCGCTGGATAAAAATTTATAAGTGGTCTGCCATATTTATTTAAGACCCATATGAAAGAAATGGATGCCATGTTTAGCATAGATAGGGGATAAACTGTCTTATAACTTGCATCTTCCAAAAGGTATTAGTCTGTACCTCTGCTTTTCCATTTAAATACAACCATCATCTCAAAAGGACCATAAAGAAAACATTTCTTCAATTTTAAAGATATACCTTTCATTAATATATCCTTACATACATCATTATATCTATAGGTATGTATACACATACATTACAAGATGATTATTGATTTGATAGCTTTCTTTTGTAGTGCAAATATTTGTAGCAAGACATCTTGCTTTGCTGCTGTTCTTACCACATTCCATAGCTTTCTTGTGTGTTGTGTTCTGTTTTTACCCATCTCAAAGCACTTTCTCATGTCCTCTTAGGAATTCTGCATTGGCAAAGTGTCTAGAAACAGTCATCAGTTTTCAAGTTTTCTTGATTAATCCTTGGCTTCATCCTTAGGTATTCTGAGAGGAGTCTCTGCATGACACAGTTTTTCTAATGTGCAGAGGCTTGCTTTGTGTCCTAACATATTGTGGTCTAAGGAAATGGGCCATGAGAAGAGTGTGTGTCTGCTTTTGTTGGGTAGAATGGTTTTCCTAGATTAGATGATTCTTTTTTTTTCTTTCTTTTTTCCCTCTTTCTTTCTTTCTTTCTTTCTTTCTTTCTTTCTTTCTTTCTTTTTTTTTTTTAAAGATTTATTTATTTTATTTATGAGTACACTGTAGCTGTCTTCAGACACACCAGAAGAGGGCATCCAATCTCATTACGGATGGTTGTGAGCCACCATGTGGTTGACTGGGATTTGAACTCAGGACCTCTGGAAGAGCAGTCAGTGCTCTTAACCACTGAGCCATCTCTCCAGCCTCTTTCTTTTTTTTTAGACAGGGTTTCTCTTTACAGCCCGGGCTGTCCAGGCACTCACTCTGTAGACCAGGCTGGCCTCAAACTCAGAGATCCGTCTGCCTCTGCCTCCCAAGTGCTGGGATTAAAGGCGTGCATCACCACTGCCCGGTAGATTAGATGATTCTTTACGTTGTTTGTGACCTGTGGTTTCTTGTTGACTTGCTTAAATATTCTATCCATTATTGAAAGTAAGGTATTGAAATCCCCAACTGTTTTTGTAAAATTGTCTTCTCCTCTTTCAAATCTGTTAGATTATTTCATGTTTTGAACCCAGCAAAACTCCATAAGACAAATAATGTATGATTTGCAATTCCCCTATCTTTGTATTTAGTCTACAGTCTTATTAGTATTTCATTTAAAATACTTGTTTATTGTAACAGCTTATGACCTAAACTTTATTTTATTTTGTCTGATATTAACATAGCAAGAAAGCTCTCTTTGCTCAGTTTGTATGCTGTGTCTTTCCAGATGCCTTCACTTTCAACACTTCACAGTATTAGAACTAAGAGGAGGCTCTGGTAGACAGAATACAATTGGATCAGTTTTTCTGAAGTGTATTCTGATGAACTTTTATTGGAAGAGTTTAGTACATTTTATGTTTAAATTGATCATGGATGAGGAATATACACAGTCATATTCTTTTTTGGGGGATTTAAATTTTTTTAAAAATAATTTATTTATTTTTCAAATCGTAATTCATTCACACAGGGGTTATAAACACAGAAAGGCAGGATGTGGGGAAGGGGATGACACCAGAGCGTGGGTGTTCAGGGGGAATACAGATATCTTTCAGAACAGGGTGTCGGCTGGGTGAAGGTTCGGGGGACAGGTCACTATGACTCTGCCTATGATTCACTTGTTTTATGTAAGATGGTATTGTCTGCCAAGACTACCTTTTTACAAGGTCTATGACTACTCGGGCTGGTAAATTTCCACAAAAGCTGCCTGTTTACAATAGCTTATACCCATATGTTTCAATGTTTTTCCAGAGACCCAAGACTTGGTGTTAGTATACATGTATGACAGGCCTATTGCTGATTTTAGGCCTATGGCTGATTTTAGGACTTCAGTGTATAAGCAGGGATGCCCCCGACATCTCCTCTCTTCTCTAAGTATAGAAGGGCTGTGGCGAATCTAAACTTGTGAAGGCAGGGATAGAGGCCTGACCTCCAGTAATTGAAGGGGACCTTGTAATGGCTCTGGTCCCCCGTCATTGTCCAGTGAAGCATGAGGGCCATACCTGTCCCTATATCTTTTTCCTGGAGAGGGATACTTTTGACATCAACCCCTCTGCAGTCAGGCTTGTCCCTCAGGGAACCCAGAGAGATATTTTTAACTTTTATTTATTTTTTTACTTGCAGTGCTTAGCCTCGCAGCCTAAGAAAGAATTCAGATCGCCAGTCAGAGGGGGTTCTGGGTGGCCCCTCTCTGTTTTGTCTAGGGGTGGAAGTCCCCTCTTTTAGGTTTGGTGGAGATGGGTTTTGGAGACACCCTGTATAAAGTAACAACCTCATCTTGAGTCTCGTGGTCCTCCATAGCTAACTTATGATAATGTATCTGAATAGGTTTTGCTACCAAATTATTTATCTGTTCTTTCACAGAGTTAGTCAGCCTATTTGAGGCCCAGGGACCAGTAGAAATAAGCAAAAAGAACCCAAATAATGGTTCCAAGATGGGAGGAAGTAGGGTTGACAACCATGGAGAGGCTGAAAACCAATTCTTGTACTAGCACTCATCTTTCTCTTTCTCTCTCTGACTTTTCTCAGGGCCTTCTCTGACCTCTTTCATGCTCTCTTTAACTCTCCCTGTCCTGTCTATGTAAAGGCAACATTCTTCTTTAAGGGTTGTACACAGTCTTTTCTATTGTAATAGAGTAAATCAAGTCCAATAAGGATCTTTGCGAATTTTGGATGTCTCTTCAGACAGCGAAACGAGGGATTTCTTCAGATTAGTGATGTCAATCTCTAGCTGTTTGATGTTCTTGTCAATGACCCTTCAAAGGTCTGAGTAGTATAAGTTCGGAGGCCAGCATCTGGATTAGAACTTCTAACAGCAGACATCATGGGTGATTTATTTTTACCTGGAAAGGAAAAAGAAGGGAATTCTCAGGGAGATTTCTCTTCCCTGGATGTAAATTGTTATTCATCGTATTTATGGTTGGGCCTGGCTTTGTGGGGGTATCTATTTTTTTCATTAATCTTTTTGGTAGCCGGTTAGCTGTGCCTTCTGTGGTATCAAACAGGCATATCAATCCTCAGCCCCATAAGGGAACTGGGTCTGGGCCATTCCCTTTAAGGGTAAGAGGGTCCTTCCCCATATCTGTGGCATAGTTTTTATTGGTCTCAGTGATGCCAGAGGCAGTCAGCAGCAGATTTGCCATGAGCTTTCAGTTTTAGAGAGTTAAAAGAGAACAAGGCATGATGGAGAGTATTTCAGGGGGACTCCTCCTGGGGGGGGGGTACCATTCCTCTTCTTTTGTTTCTAAAGCCAATTTTTCAGAGTTCTTGTAAAATCAGGGCAGAAACGCCAATAGTCGCTCCTTCCACACTCAGAGAGTCATGAAGACCCTATTTAAAGAAATATAAATCTATATTAATAATCTCTTTTATCAGAGGACTGTTATAGCACAGCCAACAACTAATAAGACTATATAATATATGGATTAGTAATAGCTTCTTCTACTTTTTGTGAGATTACTTCTCTTTTGTCAATTAATTGTTGAGGGAAATTAGGATTTACATCTCTCTTGAGAATATTAAACAGAGACTTAAACTCTTTTGTGGAGAGCTTAAAATAAGATCTTAGCCAATTAGCATCTCCTAGAAACTTTTGAAAATAATTTGAAATAAGTAAACTCTCTCATCTTTTTTAGACCCTTTATCTGTTTTTTTAAATTGGATATTTTATGTATTTAACTTTCAATGTTATCTACTCCCACATTCTCCCCCCGAACCCCTTATCCCATACCTCCTACTCCTATTTTTATGAGAGTGTGCTCCAAACATCCTCCCAGTCCCATTCCCCTG